ACACATTACAGTTTTTGACTCTTATTACTCATAAATTCTTTAACTGTAGTCTAAGACTGTAAGATTTTAGTGCCAAAACATGTATAAAGTTTCATTTATAGCAGAAATGGGAATAAACCAAGCAGTGGATTTCAGTTTGAGCTCTAAAAGACAGAGAAACAAAGAGAAATAGTTGTAGGATTGTTTGAAATTCCACTTAAAAACTCCAGTTAACCTTTTTTTAATAACCAAAAAACGAATAAGATCATCAAAAAAGAGCCAGTAGGATGTTTCCTGGGTTTTTGCCGCAGAATTAAACATCAAAAGTTGTCAAAAGGTGCATTTTCTATGAGTCTAATGTGATAAAGTGTGGAAAGAAGATGCTTTTTAAAAATCATTTATTGGGTACATCGGCCATATTTGAGGTGAATTAATTTCCATAAACAAATGCTTCAGAACTGATGAACGGACAGTATTGTTCAGGCCTTTTATTAAAGCTGAATGCTGGCGTTAAATACTGGACGATCTGCAATTAAAGGCAGTTTTTAAAGTGAGTTTGCACCCCTTTGAGCCTTGACCACACCTTTACGTTTGGTTAACAAATAAATCCTGTTTCTGAGCCGGCTGCTTCCACCTCAGGGCTTTTCGAGTTAATTTAATCTAATTTTGATCAATTTATTGATGGTTTTTGTTTATATTTCCACCACTTTTAGCCCATTTCAGCCTCCAAAAGACACCGACTGGGTGCACCTGACTGAGCTCACAACCCGTTTCAAAGGACAAATTTCTATCTTTAACATTTAATCCTGAGCTTTGGATCTGGTTTATTTACCCACATAATCCTGCAGCTGGTCAGTTGTCATTATTCTTAATGTTCTAGTATGACTGTAAGTCTTTATTTGTCCTCGTTCGTAGAAAATATCGAATATAAGCCAAAAAAATCACTTGAAAATAACATTTAATACCGATAATTTAACCTCATCTGCTGTATTTTAACAGCACACGACAAAAACGTTCATATGTGGACAAAACATTTAAATGAATCATTTTATTCAGATCGAATCGGGATTTTACTTCTGTTTAGCTTATCGTTCCAGCTCAGAGCTGCTTGTGTTTCCTTTTTTTGTGTTTATTCTGCTCGGCTTAATGCGCCCTCGGGTCGTCCTGCAGCTTTTGTTGGTGCAGATGTGACTGTGTGTGTTTTTAAGCCGTCATATTATCCTCAGCTACACAATGAGGCGGTTTCAGATATCAGCTCTGGAAAGTCCCCGGATAATTATGCCGGACTTTGTCTCCATCTCTCTCTCTCTCCCTATTTCTTCTTCTTCTTCTTCTTCTTCTGCTCTTAATCTTCTCCTCGTCACCATAAATGGGGCCTATTGTTTTTGCCCTTTTTTAAAATTTATTTCCCACTGGGAGCCTCACTGAAGGCTAACTGCTAGCTGCTAGCTGCTAGCATGCTAACAGGCAGGTGTTTAAAGTCGGTTGCTTTCCGTCAGAGGAGGAATATTTAAACCGTCGTGGCCTTTTTAAGTTTTCTCTGAAGAGTTATTTCAGCCGGGTTTCAAGTCCAGGGGAATTCACAGCAGCCCATTTCCATATCGCTGCTGCCTCAAAGCGAAAGCATCCCCAGAGCTCTGAGCTCCACTCTGACTCCTAATGTTGGTTCAAAGCTGCAGATCAGCTCCCAGATGAACCCCCAGATGGGTTAGAAGCCCCCACAACTCAGATGAAGCTTCCTTATTCCTTGCAAAATGCTCAGAAACCCTTAAACTGACGGTTTTCTGCAGCTACTGGAGCTCCTGGGCTCTGAAAAGCTGCAGATATTTCTCACTTTTGCTTTTCTCAGAAGCAAAAGTGTGAGGGGCTTTTCAGAGGAAGCGTTAGGGGTTAATGTTCCTGCTCAAATTCGCACGTTTAGCCGTTTCATTTCAGCCTGAAACTGATAGAAAAACAGTTTTATTATACACAGGGGGGGGAAAATAACTCCAGTTTGGGATCTTTTTGTTCTTTAGCCAGACAGAAAACTGCCAACTACCAACCAGGTGAGAGTTAAAAAGACAAGATAAAATAATCTAATTCTACTTCTACTTTAGTTTATTTAAAGGAGAGCAGAGATAAGTCATTAATATAAAATGGAGAGTACATTAAACTCTATGTTCTGACATGTGGGATCAGTTAAACAAAGACAACGATGAAAACCGTTTTGCATTCCTTCTTTTTTTATCCCAAAGGGAACATCTCACCCATCTTCAGGCCTCATATTGTCATTTGTGGCTCCACTAGCAGCTCAGAATGGCAGCGGGCGCCTGTCGGTGGCTAAACCACTTTGGTTCAGACTAAAATATCTCAAGGCGAGTCTCTTTAAATAACAAAGCTTTAATAAGCATTCAGGGGAATCACAAGAAACTATATTAAAGCTAGAGACGAGCGGAATGTTGGTCACAGAGGGTAAAAAAAAGGAAAAAATAAGAAATAAAGCTGTGAAAGTAAAGTTTTATGCAGCTTGAAAATA